TTCTTGGAATCTGCGGACGCTCTCAGGCAGATGGCAGGGGAGGAACTGGGCCGCAGATGGGCATTGAGGGCAGGATTCGGTGCGTCCAGCCGGTGGCCACATGCTCTCCTCTCCTGCTCTTCACACCCAGTGGCGGGAGCTGGCATGGCCGACATGTGCGTCCCTCCACCTGCTGCTCCAGTGGCACCTGCCGGAGCTTCCATTACAGCTGCTTTGTGTCCACCTAATGGGCAGCACCTGGCCGCAGAGCAGACTGCAGTAATGACCAGTTTGTAGGCAGTGAGACTCTGAACCACACAGGGCTTTAATTGCCCCTCCTGATTTGCAGGTGGTGGTGGGACAGTGCAGGACTGGCACCTGTCCCCTCTTTGGAGCCCTGGCGTGGGATGCACGACGATGTCTTGTTTTCCCACAGAAGCTGCTGGGCCGTGCTTCGCCAGGGCCCAGACTTCATGGATGATCCATTAAGCGTTGGCATGAAAACTGACCCCGGGTTGCTCACCAGTCACTGTGTTTTTGCAGTTGTTTCGGGGACAGTTTGCAGCCCTCGGTGTGACGTCAGAGGCACCTTCTCAGCCAGCCTTGCCGAGGAGGCAGGGTGGGGCGTGTGCAGGGAAGTTGCTCAGCCGCCTCCGAAATCCCTGGGATCTGCAATGGTCTCGGAGTGCGTAGAAGTCACCGCTGCAGCAGCAGAAGTGGATTTGGGTGGAGGGAGTTTCAGTTGAAATTGTACCCCTCCCACCCCCACCTCCCTGCCGATCGCCGTGCAGCGTTTGTTGCAATGGTTGCTTTTAAAAAAACTTTAAAAATTGCATCGTGGGGCTCATCTATTCCGGAGAAGTCACAGAGCTAGTTGGGAAGGGTTTTATAGGCATGGGCTGCTATAATCCTGTGTGTGTGCATGTTTCTGTGTGCACACATGTGCGCAGTGTGTGTGCATGTATTTGTGTGTGCACAGGTGTGTGCATGTTTCTGTGTGCACACATGTGCGCATTTGTGTGTGCAGGTATTTGTGTGTGCACAGGTGTGTGCATGTTTGTGTGTGCACAGGTGCGTGTGCAAGTGCTCCTGTGTAGGATTCTGCTTCTGCTTCAATCCAGAAATGCACAGGCATGCGTACATGGGACACATTAGCATACGCACAAAACACAAAGGCACTGGGAAAGTTGATTTTCTAGGCTTTGAGGAGTTTCATGAGATGGGGACTTGGCGTCCGTCCACTCTTCCTGTTTACTCACGTGTTCGCCACCCTCGTGATAATCTGTGAAACTTGACGTGTGGAACATTTCTGAAGCAAAGGTTGTCTGCCCTCTCCCCACCGCGTCCCGTCTCACAGATGAGGAGGCCACGGCTCGAGAAGCCAAATCCTGCCTGGGACTGGCTGGTGCACTGGGGGGCCGGGTCTGCGCCCAGACTCTTGGCCCTGGCTTGTGGCCCGCCCCGTCCCGGGGCCCCTATACACCTCCTCGGTGCCATCCGGTAGAGCCCGGTTTCCTCACGCCACCGGGCTGTTTCCAGCCTGGGCTGTGAGTGCTGTGGACTTGGGCTCTGGTACCCACCCAGCGTGAGCCCCATATGGGGTCCCTTTGTGCTGGGGAGCCATCCCTCACCCCTCGGGGCTCGTGCCGGGCACTGGGTATGCTGACCACCAGCCCCCGGGTGGGGCAGGCCCCTGCTGATGGCCCCGCCTGCCCCCCGCTCTGGCCCCTTCCCCTCCCAGACTTGGCGCCGGCCACTGCTCGCTGCCTGGGACGCGTGGGCTCCTCATGCCCGCAAACCTCAACTCAAAGGTCGCTGTCGGGGTTGGGTCTTCACCGACCGCCCCCCGAGTGGTCTCCTTTGCTTGTCGACAGTCTGTCATCTGCACCAGCACACTGGCTCCAGGCGAGTGGCTGTGCCCGCCTTGTCTGCTGCCGTCATCCCAGCCAGACAGTGCGTGGCATGTAGCAGCTGCTCGATGGATGCTGGGCGAACGGGTGAAGACGTGCCTAAAAGAGTGAAAGGCAGGGAGCTGTAGCGTAGCTCTGAGTGAGGCAAATGGCCTGGGGCCCGAGGACAGGCTGCAGCAAGGCTGCTGTCTGCACCTGTGGCACTGTCTTCTCCTGGGGTGCTGGCCCCCAAAGCATGGAGCTCATCTTCCCATCTGCCCTGGCTCTGTGATCTGACTCACCAGGCCAGGGGTCCTCTGAGCGCAAAGCAGTCCAGGCTGCTGGCCAGCGAGCAGGGCTGCCCCGAGGGCTGGGAGCCCCCTTCCCCGTGGGTGGTTCACACCGAGACCTCGGTGGTTTCCTTCTTAGCAAAGCCACCCCTGCCCACTGTGGAAAATCAGAGAGTTGAATTTGTTTTTGATTTTGCAGAAAAATTTAAGAAACCAAAATAGTGACAAGGACACAGGTCCTTAGTGATCCCACCGTTGCAGACAACCAGGGTGACGCTCCATGGTGCCGCTCCCTGTGGGCATGTGACCTGGTTTATTTTTAGCACTGGGTTAGAGTCAGTAAGTGGGAAATTTGGGGAATATGACCTGGAGTTTTGGCAAGTATGTTTTTCCAGCCCGAAGACTCCAGACTCACAATCCTCCTGAGATGTCTGTGCTGCTTTCTCGGCAGTCTGGGAAGCGGGGCTTGGGCGGGAGCGTGCCGTTTCCGGGAGCTTTCTACGGCGGGGGAGGCACCGGCCTGGCTCACGCTGGGCAGCCCAGAGAACCCAGCACACGGTGGTCGTGGCGGTGGCCCGTGTTCTGGGAACACTCGGCCCCGCTGGCGGCAGGTCACCCTCTGGAGCGTCTGTCCTGTTCTCCTCCCTCTGCTGCCAGACACGCATGTCATGCAGGTGGTTGCGAGTGGGCAGTCACAGGAGGGGACCGTCACTGCCTGCCATCACCACCAGTGCTCTGGGGGTGTGTCAGTCAGGGCGAGAGAGCAAGCTGCTATAACAAGGAGACCCAAAAACAATGTGGTGGAAAGAACAGACATGTCTTTTCTTCTTATGAAGTGACAGTTGATGGATGTCCCAGGGACAAGTCTGTCCTACGTGGCCCTTTTGTTTTGCATCTCTGCATGGTGGAGACTGGGCTGCTGGCACTCGGGGTTCCCGAGGCTGGGATGGGGAAGGGTGAGGGAACGTGGCCACGTGACCCCGTCACCTGCAGGGAGGCCTGGAGGGCGTCCCTTGCAGGGCAGCCCCTGGTCTACCACAGAGAGGGGAGGAGTTGGTGACGGCCACTGGCTGGTGCTACTGCCCGGCTCCAGACCCCTCTGAGCACCACACAGTCTCCTGACACTGAATTCTCAGGGTGGCAGAAACTTTGAAGACTGGGGAGCCAGAGCTCTGGCCTCTGGGAGGAGTGGGCCAGGCCGGGGGGTTCCACGTGGAGCCCAGAGCTTCACCCAGGACCCTGGGCAGGGGGGATGGCTGGGAGCTGCTCCGCCCCCCTCTGTCTGGCGTCTGCACTGTCCCTGGGACTCTGGGCTGGGCTGGGTTTGTGGGCGCCCCCAAGGGCCCGCTTTGTTCCCCTCCTGCCCCGCTGTGGTGCTCAGCCGAGCAGTCTGTTTACACGACCCGCTCCATCCGTCAGCCGGATGCGTAAACACGGGAGCTGAGTGGTCCCATGGCCGGATCAGGGGGCCAGGTCGGGGGACCCAGCTCGGGGGGGCTGCCAGTTGGTGCCTGGTGATTCCAGGCACGGCGGGCACCGCAGGGTGTCCTGACCCAGGTCTCCCAGACTGTGGCGAGGTGGGGGTTACTCATTAACTGGCACAGTGTTTTATGAGGCTGGGTGAGCCGGGGTGAAGCGAGCCCACCTTGGAATGATGTGCTCGCTCATGCTGAGCGGATCACTATGAGAGGGCGCCGGGCCGCCCGGGGCTGGGGGCAAGAGGGCCCTGGGTACCTGAACCACGGCAGGACCCTGGAGGGCCAGGCTGCAGGGGCCTCAGTCTCCCAGGCACTCATGACGTGTGCGCCTCTGCGGTCGATGGACGCTCTGCCTGCAGGGACTTGGGACTGGTCGGAGTGAGGTGCGAGGACCAGAGCTAACCTGGGAAGCTTTGAGGCCAGTGTGTGCAGGGCTCAGCCAGGCGATGTTTACTGAGGCCTGCTGGCGGCGTGCGCTGGGTGGCTTATGGAAGCCTCTCTTTTAATGCTCCTGAGGTGTAGTTAGGACAATGCCTAAATTACAGGTGCAGAAACAGCTCAGGCAGGGTCGAGGCCTTGCCCAACGTCACACCACAGCCCAGGCGAGGTCCAGGCCAGACACCCCCCACCCCCACCCCAAGCTCTCTCCATGGCAGGCAGTGACTTTCAACGTCCAGGCCACTCATGAGGCAGTTCGAGTGTGGGGGACATTTAGCCGCCCAGGCTGCCCCCAACTCTGGGTCCCGCCGTCCGAAGGCTGCATCTTTAATGTGTAACGCATTGCATGGCGGCAGCCCTGCGGTATTCTGCCCACAGCTCTGGCGTTAATCATTGAGCTGGGAAAATCCGCAGAGCCGCCGCCTGCTCCCCTGTTTGGGGGGTCAGGAGGGTGCCTAGTGGGTGCGTGACCCTGAGACAGCACTCCTCCCTGCCCCCGGGGAGCGCCCGGCGCGCCTGGATGCGCTCCCAGTCCTTGAATTAATCCAAGGTCAGCCCGAAGCCGGCAGCCCTGCGACAAAGACATGGGCCCCTTGGGGAACGTCCCCAGGGTTTCCCCACCACCTCGGCAGGCGCGGGTTGCGTGGTGGGTTCTGTTTCAGAGGAGCTGTCTGTGTGTCCAAGTGAAAGTGGGGACTGGGCCCGGCTGGATGGGGCCCTCTGGAAAGTGCCGGCTGTGCTCAGATCCACCGCAGGTGTCCTCGAAGAAACGGTGGGATTGAGTTTAGAAACAGTGGCTCGTGCAAAGGAGCCAGGTATGAGGTGGGAATTGGGGCAGCAGCCCCCTGCTGGGTGACCCCCTCTCTGTGCCCTCACCCGGGGCCCAGCCTGGCTGACTCTCACGTGTCCCCGACTTCAACCCACAGGGCACCGCGTCCGTCCTGCAGCGCCGGTCCCCGGACGAGGAGTACGTGGAGGTGGGGCGTCTGGGGCCCTCCGACTACTTTGGTGAGTCCAGTGTCCCCTCCTCGTGGCTGCCCCACCTCACTGGGAACCTGGAAGACCCCAAGGTGGGGAGATGTGAGGGCTTCCCCTGGGCTCCTGGGTTGGGCCCATGGGGGACGGGTGAGCCCCAGTGTGGCTGCATCCCCTCACTGGGAGGTCCTGGGCTTCCCTGGGTCCCCAGGGGCAACCAGGCCTGTGTATGGGCTCCCCCAGAGAAGGCATGACCTTGGGGAGGCACCTTCCTGCTGCAGAGGGACACAGTGGAGCCATCAGTACCCAGCATTTCTGCAGCTAGGGGCTGGGTCCTATGGAAGACCTGGGCACACCTGAGCATACCTGGGCACACCTGGACATTCCCACAACTGGGGGGACAGGGCTGTGAGAGGGGTGTGGACAACCTGGGTATTCCTGCAGCTGGAAGCTGAGTCCCAAGGAAGACCTGGGCACATCTGGACACATCTGGATGTTCCTAGAGCTATGGGGTTGGGCCCTGAGAGAGGCCTAGGCACACCTGAGCACACCTGGGCACTCCTGGACATTTCCACAGCTGGGAGTTGGATCTTGAGAGAGGCCTGGACACACCTGTGCACACCTGGACACACCTGCACATTCCCACAGCAGGGGATTGGGCCCTGAGGGAGGCCTGGGCACACCTGGACATTCCCACAGCTGGGGGTTGGGTCCTGAGTGAGGCCTGGGCAGTGCACCACAGTGCCTATTATACATGGGGTTGCCCAACAAAATGCAGGACAATGCCTAGAATTTGAAGTTCAGGTAAACCATGAGTAACTCGTTGGTATAAGTATATCCCAAATGTTTCATGGCCACAGTTCTCCTAAAAAGACTTTATTTTTGTGGATTTGAAATCCATGTTTTCTTGCATCTTGGTATGGTTGTTTTCCCTACCTTTAAGGAGAGCAGCTTCTGGGGGTCCCCGCTGCGGCCTCAGGCCCCTTGGACCTGGCCCCTGACCACCTTTCTCCACCTTCCAGGGGAGATCGCCCTGCTGCTGAACCGGCCGCGTGCGGCCACGGTCGTGGCCCGGGGGCCCCTCAAGTGCGTCAAGCTGGACCGGCCCCGCTTCGAGCGCGTGCTGGGCCCCTGCTCCGAGATCCTGAAGAGGAACATCCAGCGCTACAACAGCTTCATCTCCCTCACCGTCTGAGCCGCCCACCGCGCCGGTGTGGTGGCCGTGTGTGCTTGTCTGTGTCCGGAGGTGGCGGCCAGGTGGGGCTGGCGTCCGGCCGCATAGGGGCTGCCCCTTCCCCGGACTCACTGTTCAGAATAAACAATCACCTCGTGCATTTCAAAAACAAAGGGCAAGCGAGCCAAAATCACCCAAGACCAAGGACACGGGAGGCCAAGCTCCTTCCCGCGTGTCCCCTCGTCGGCCTCCGTGGGCGTGTCTCAGTAACCCCCATCCCTCCGACGGTCACCTGGCGGCCCTTGTAGCTCCTCCCCAGAACCTGCCAGGACGTTGGCCCCAGGGCCCCCAGACCCTAGAATGTCCAAGAGTGGGATAGATCGTGTCAAATGGGGCTGTCCCCAGAGGGTCACAGGCTGACAGCGAGAAGCTGAGGCTGAAGAGAGAGGGCTGCGCGTTCCGCTCCCGCCACCACATGCCTGCCTGCCAGGGGCCTGGGGGGAACGCCGGGTGAGGAGAGTCTCTGGTTCTAACAGGATGCCTAGGCTGGAGGGGGTCGGGGTCCTGCCTTGGGGACAGTGCCACTTGGCCGAGAGTGACCCACCTGGGCGGTGCTCTCGTGGGGTGCTGTGACGAGCTGCGTGATTTTGGCGGCTTGCCCTTGCCTTTCTTGGGAAGCCCATCCAGGTGGGTTGGGTATGCTGGCCAGACACTCGGGGACACTCTTGGTGCCCTCACTGGGCTGGACACCCGGATGGGAGAGAAACACAGTTTGAGTTTGTGACTTTCCGAGATCTAGCGGGTGCTGTTCTGGGTCCCTGTTCCCTTGGAGTCAGGGGGAACCTCGAAAAATTTCGGGTTCCACTTCTTCCTAAAGCATCTGCTATGAGACCTTGCCAGTGGGGAGGAGGGATTCCTGAAATGCATTTTGATAAAGTCCTAGGACCAGGGTCCCCTTCTGAGTCCTTCCCCAGCAGATATACTCATTGCTCAACAGAAGTTCCAGGAGACACATGCAATTCACTACCCCAGCCTCTCTTGTCCTGCCATAAGGGACAAGATCTAAGTCAGTCAAGGCTTGGGTCCCACCACCTGCATTGTCATTGAGTGACATGTCCCTTAAGTCCCACAGTGGTAAAGTGAGCCACGCCCCAGGGGGGTAAGCGAGTGCAAAGAGCTTCCCGGAAGCTTCTGGGTGCCTGAAATGCAGTGAAACCGTGCAGTGATCCCAGCCTTGCTCCGGCTGTGCACATCCGAAGGAGGCCATCTGTGGTCTGAGGTGACAGCGCTGGCCCTCCTTGGTGGCAGCACAGGCATCAGAGCCCCTCCCCGCCCAGCCCTGGCCAGGCCGCCTTGCCCCGCCTTTGCCTGTGGATGTCTCTGTGCGCCTGTGAGCCCTGCCGTGCTCCCCGCCCGTGCTCTGGATGCTGCATGAACTATTAAATGTGCAATGAAGACCTTCTTCCTGACTCGGAGGTTTTGGTCTGAAATCTGTTGTAGATAAAGGTTTTTTATTTTTTTTATTTTTTATGGTAGTAAAATGCACATAACACAAAATTTACTATTTTAATCATTTTAAGGTGCACAGTTGAGTGGCATTAAGCACATTTGCATTGTGCAACCTTCACCACCATTCACCTCCAGAACTTTCCAATTTTCCAAACTGACACCCACACCTATTAAGCAGCTGCCCATGCCCCTCTTCTACCTTCTGTGACCTTATGTCCCAGACATTCTCGTGTCAACGTTATCAGTGCAAATGTGGGTTCTGTCTACCTGTGGTGCCCCGGGTGTGGCAAGGGACAGGGCTAGCACCCCGGCTCTGCACCACTGTGGCTCCATGCTCTGCTGCTGTCCTGGTGGCCTTAGTCCCTCTCCTTGTGGCCGCTCTGTGGGCCCTGCCATGGGCACGCAGATCCGAGGCTGCTTCTGGGAGGGGTTGGGGTATGTCTGGCTATGTTGGGCCTCCAGACAAGGCAGCAAAGCCGGGGCTGGGGTCAGCCCTGGGCACTCGGGAAGCCGGCAGTGAGTATTCACATAAATAACAAAAGTGAGTGAATGAACCAAGGGTTGACAGACAGAAACTGGGAAATTCAGGCTCTGACATACATTGGCAAAACAAAAAAATAAAACACAACTAAACACAACCTAAGTCTCACATTTTACCCAGAAATTAACTCAAAATAGATCATATATGTAAATGTAAACATAACACTATGAAACTTTTAGGGAAAAAAAGGACAAAATCTTTGGGATCTAGGGCTTGGCAAAGTGGTCTTAGACTTGGTACTAACAGTGCAATCCATAAAAGGGATAGAATTCATGAAAATTAAGAACTTTGCCCTTCAAAGGACCTTGTGAAGAAGATGAAAAGACAAACACAGATTGGGAGAAAATATTTTCAAACCACCTATCCCATGAAAGACAAATACCTAGAATATATGAAAAACTCTCAAACTCATCAATATGAACGTGAAGAATCCTACTAGGACATGAAAGGGCACTTGGCCCAGGAGTAGGTGCAGCGTGATGCCCCAGCCACTTGCTGCAGAGAAATGCAAATTAAACCACAACACGACACACATCTGTCAGAATGGCTAAAACAAAAAACAGCAACGCTCAGTGCTGCCGAATGTGCAGAGAAACGGGATCACTCCTACGTGGCTTGCAGGAATATGAAATGGTGCAGCCACTGTGGAAAATAGTTTCTTAAAAAACAAAAAACTAGAACTAAAATAAGCACACAATTACCATAACCAGCAACTGCGTTCCTGGGTGTTTATCCCAGAGCTGACATAAAACCTGCACATGCATAAAGCTTTATTGGTACATTAATCCCAAACTGGAAACAGCTCTGTGTCCCTCAGTGGGTGAAGCAGACCGTGGTGCGCCCGTACCAGAATGCTACGTGACACTAAAAAGGGATACGCTTTGGTATGCCCGGCAACCTGCACAGAATTGCCCCAGAATGATGCTGTGGCATGATCCCATTCACACAACATTCCTGAAATGCCAGCGTCGCAGGAGTGGAGCCAGGGCTGGGGGTGGAGGTGGCTGTAGGAAAGGGTGACAGAGGTGTCCTCGTGGGCTGACAACATCCATATCAAGCCCTGCTGTGAAGTCGTGCTGCAGCTTAGGAAGAAGTTACCATTGAAGCAAACTGGGTAAATGGGCTACTGGATCTCTATTTTAATTAAATGGGGAAAACAGGAAGCATTTGCGTTTAGGGGATTCTTCCATCCATGCGTTCAATTTCATTGATATGTAATTTACATACAGCCAAATGCACCTGTTTTAAGTGTGCTGTTTGATGACTTTGCACAGGTGACTACACCTGTGTGGCCACCACAGCCAAGATGTGCACCAGTTCCATCATCCCCAAAACATCCCCGGGTCCCTTTGCGGCCACTGACACCGCTGGCCAGTTTGGGCTGTTCCAGAAGGTCACGTATGTGGCATCTTGCCCATGCAGTGTGTCTTCTTTCGGACCTGAGCTCTTTCATCAGAGTAATGTTGTTGGCATTTGTCCATCTTGCTGCGGTTCTTTGCTGATGGATGTACCATAGTTTGCTTATCCATTCACCTGTCGATGGACTTTTGGACGGTGAACAGTTTTTAGTTATTACGGATAGTCGTGTGTGGGCATATGTCTTAACCTCTCTGGAGTCGATACGGGGGCCTGGAATGGCTGGATCTTAGGGTATGTGTGCAACCACACTAGAAATGGCCAAACCACTCTCCAACATGGTCTCCTAGCAGCAATGCAAGAGGTGGCAGTTGCTCCCCTCCTTGCTAGCTCTGGGTACCGTCAGTCTTTCTACTTTTTCTGTCCTCGCGTGTGTGTGGCAGTATCTCCTTGTGGTCTAACGGGTGCTTCCTGATGACTAATGGTGCAGCGTCTCTCCATGTCTGCACTGACTGCAACTCTCCTTTTGTGAAATGTCTGTTCAGATCTCTTGCCCATTTACAGAAAGTGGGATGTCTTATTAATTTGTAGGGCTGTACAAGGTCTTTGTGTGTTCTGGATTCAGCTTCTCCATCGGATATACATATTGCAAATGTTTTTCTCCCAGCCTGTGGCTTGCCTTTTCATTTTCTTAAATGATACCTCCTAAAGAGCAAAAGTTTTCATTTTTATTGAGTCTAGTTTATCCATCTTTCTCTTTATACTTTGTGGTTCGGTGTCCTATTTAAAACTCCTTCGCCTACTCCAAGGCTCAATGTTCGTGGAACACTGACATGCACCTGGCACTGACCTTGGCCCTGAAGCGGTCTTGGGGCTGTCATCCCACTTGGGGGGGTATGGCACTTTCTCTGCCCTGAGGCCCCATGGAGGTCTAGGAATGCACCCCCCAACATATCTGGAAGGGAGCAAAGTGGTTCCCTTACCTGGGAACCTTACTCAGGGAGCTTTACCTGTGGTTGGCTCAGGGGTGCCCAGTGAGGTCTGGGTCCAGGGGCTGTGGTCTGGGGAGGACCCGAGGGGGCCAGGTCCCAGAGAGAGTCAGGGGCTGCCCTGCCATGGGACGGCAGCCCAGGAGCCATGGACACCATGTCTGTCCGGTACATTCCTGGTGCCTGCTGTCCACGTGCCAGGCAAAAGACTGCGTTGTTGCTGAGGCTCCAGCGTGAAGAGCTTTGCCTCGGGCCACTAGAGGCAGGTGCAACTGGGAACGCTGCTCTTCGGCAGGCCTGGCTGGTGCCTCGGTCAGATCTTGGTCTGGCTTAACAGATGCTGCGCTCTGGGGCAGGTCCCAGGACTTGGCCTGGGGCCACTGAGAATGTCTAGGATGGAGAACCTGAACCTCAGTTCCAGTCTGGCTTCTGCCCTCACTGGCCACAGGGATGGGGAGCCGCTGCACCCCCAGGGCAGTTTGCCTACCTGGGAAAATTGTCATGCACCTGCTTGGCCTAGAGAAACAGGCATGCATTATGCCTAGAGAAGCATTTATTCATTCATTTGCTCACTCGTTCATGCATTTGTTCATCTATTCATTCATTCATGAATTCATGAATTTGCTCATTCATCCATTCATTTGTTGATTCATCAATTCATTTGTTCACTCATTCATTTGTTCACTTATCCACTCATTTGTTCATCATTCATTTTTTTCACTTATTCACTCATTTGTTCATTCATCCATTCATTTGTTCACTTGTGCATTCATTTGTTCATTTATGCATTCATTTGTTCATTCATCCATTCATTTGTTCACTTACTCATTTGTTCATTTGTTCATTCATTTGTTCACTCATGAAGATTTTGTTCATTCAGTTCATTTTTCATACATTCATTGGTGAAGTTTTTCCCACACTCGTTCAGTTGCTCATTCGTTGATTCCTTGTTACAGTTCTGAGCTCCTTTCACACATTCCTGGCACTTAGGAGCTGGCCGCCCTCCCTTCAGAGAAAGGATTTCCTGGAGCTGCAACTCTAGGTAGAGGATTTGGAGGGGGACAGACCCTCCTGGGTCAGCAGGTGGCTGTGGCCACCCTCGTGATACCCTAGGCCAGGTGGTTGTGTGAGGGCCGTTCTGGGTCCATGTCCAGCTCTCTTTGAGCTTCAGCTGCCCATCTGTAAAATGGGTGCAATGGCGCATCACAGCCATGTGGTCAGATGGAATCATTACTGGTGGGAAGACGCTCGGCAGGGCCCCAGACCAGCAATGTCACTTGCCCACATGCCCTGTCGGGATGAGCTGGCCTTCAGAGCCCGGCCCCGGCCCAAGCCCCTCCAGACTGGGCACAATTGCGGCCTCACCTCCCCTGCCCAGGGAGGCTGAATCAGCGGCCGGTGGTGACTCACTTTGAGGTCAGGCAGCTTCCTCCCGGGGGCCTGGGGCTCGAGGTGACTTCATGTCTGGGGACGGGCAGGAGGCCCTCAGCAGGGGTGACTCGGGGATCCCGGGCCCTGCCCTTCAGAACTCCCTGTGGCGGCTGCAGCCGGGCCCCGAGGACCCTGGTCCCTGGGTCCACCCTGGCCTCTCCAGAGTCCAGCCCAGCCCTGCCCAGCCAGGAAGCCTCTCCTGATGCCACCAGCCACTGACCTCTCCCTCCCCTCTCGGACCACTCTGGCCTCCTAGAATGTGACCAAATTAGGAAGCTGGTGACTAACTTTCCTGCCCCGGCTCCACCTCCACTCAGTCAAGGGATTTCCCTTCTTGGAGGGTTCATCTAGTCTGGTTCTAACTTGTGCCCCAAGGACAGGGAGGCCTTCACAGAGTTTCTCAATCGCGGCCGGGAGACCTATTCCCATGGCATGCTGGTGGGCCACCAAGGCCCTCAGAACCTTTTCATGGGAAGTGCCTAGCAAAGTCAGATCTGGCGTGTGTGGAGTGGACTTGTAAACCCACGTGTAGGGCGTGTATTCCACCAGGACCAGTCACTGGGGTGGGTTCCATGGCCCCGGCGGGAAGTCTGCTCTGGGATGGAGCCCTGTGCCATCGCCAGTGTGGCAGCCACCTCACCAG